GGAACATCCGCGAAGAAATTAGATGAAGATTTAGATATTCTGTGGGCATCAAACGGTGGAAATGTAGATCTGTCAAAGTAGTCAAAAGATGATTTCAGCACTGGTTTGAGTCCTGATTACATCGAATGCAAATATTTTGCCGGCAAGCCCGTGGCGACCAAAAATTTTAGTTTTTGTTTCGCTACGAAGGAAAAATTTTAATGACACTTTTTGGCAACCACATTTTTCCATATGGCGACTGCAAAAAAACTTTCAGTCGCCAGTTGGCACCTGCCAAAAAAAGTTAATTTCGGACCCTGTAATTGCAGATAGATTACTCATGGAAGTTGTTTATTGTTGATAAATAATGTCTGTTCACTGTCATGTCTTTTTACCTTTTCAGTTTTTGGTGGTCATTGTTGTGGGTTCACAGACCTTTTGAAATATGGATTGTACAAGTAAGTTCCTAAAGAACAGCATCATGGGTTCCTACCTGTACATCTTCTTTGAGTTTCAAAGGTTTTTTGTGATTGTTGTGTGCTAAAACTAAACACAGCTTCCAAATACTCCCTGGATTGTGCTCTTGATTAATTATTGCAATTTGGTATAATTTCTGCTAAGAATAAATACTCCAAGGTACCTATGGGTGCTCTGGCCGAAGTTATTGCATTGTGTTCTTGGGCAGAACGCTTAATTTCACTGTGCTTCTGTCGAACATGCACAGTCAGGTGTGTAATTGGATAGCGGCAAATTTAAGGATGTACTGGGACAGACATCCCATCTAGGGGAGGACTAGAACTACACTTAGTTATTTGGTACTACCAAGTCCAGAGGTGTAGGAGGCGTGGTGGCCTCATGGTTAGTGTGTTTGTCTCTGGATCAAGCGTCCAGAAACAGAAACAGGGATAAGCTCTGGCCTGGTGGGCCACTTGGCATGTATGCAGACTTAACCTTACCTTACCCACCTATGGGTCAGGAAGAAGGTAAATCACCTGTATGGCTTTGGTACTTCCAGAGAACACAGAAATTAAGGTTACTCCAAACCTTCCTGGGTGTCCTCCAGAAAAAAAAATTGGGATGTGATGAAAGGTCTCACCTCAGTCATGAAGTGTGTCCTGTTCATAGTCTGTTGTTGCTCTATCTCAAAAGTCCCAGTACTAACAGAGTCCTGACAGTGACTATACACACTTTTGCACTTGGTATGCCTAGTAACACCATTGACTTAGGCCGATGATTAAATTACAAAACTTCATCCAATTTACACCTATACAATAACTGCGTGATATGATATATTCTTTCTAGACAATCATTGCAGTTTATAGTATGCTGGATGCAATTCTCCTTGGTTACTTAACTTACAAGGTAATTTCTCTAACTGATCTGTTGTTTTGTCTTAGAGTGCACTGTTGATCCAGTTTATTATTGTACAATAATACTTTTGTTCTTGATTTCCAGGGAGGCTCAGTCCTTAATCAAATTGTAAATGGCCGTCTCATTGCAGAGGTTTTTCTAGGGTTACCTTTTTTAGTATCTGTAAGTAAATTCATTGCTAGTTCTCTTTTCAACCTCAGTTAATATTTTTTTTTTTATAATACCTGATAAATATGAACTAATCTTTTGCAGATATTTTATCTTCGACTTAGAAATTTGTGGCTCCCTTTGTTTCTCAATTGCTGGCTTGCTAAGAGTGCATTAGATACAATGCTTGTGAGTATAACTGATCAGTGATCATTCAACGGTGAAGTACCATATGTCATGTACATTACGTAGTTATTTACAAGGAGCTTCATACTCTGTACATGACAAACAATTGAATTCTGCATCAATTTATCAATACTGATAGATCCTGCTTCAGTGAGAGTTGGAGCCATTGAAAGTCTTGGCACAAGAAACCCTTGTGGTTGTTATCTAATTCTTTTATGACAATATTGGGCAATGTCTTTTACTTGATTAAGCAATTATGTATGTTTTAATTAGGCAATTATGATTTATTTGCAAAAGGTTCCAGCATCATTGCTGAAATATTTGCAGGCTGTAGAATGTAAGCAGTAATGATTGCATACAAGTTTGCGGTTCCAGCCGAAAAGTCAGAAATAATACGTGTATTTTTAAAATGCTGAGACATTTCCATTGGTTTCATTAACTTTTTTAGCAGGAGGGCAACTGATTTTCACAGGCAGGCAACCTGTTTTGAACTGAACTTCTTTAGCAGAAAACATTTCCTCTAGATGGTCAAACCAGGTGCCCGGCTCTTAATGAAAAAGTCCTGCATTTCAAAACACATCCGCTGACTCATTATGCAACACGTTTGAGTAGTATACCTTGGAATATCCCACTCGCCACTTGTATTTTCTTGGTATACACACGACCCTTTAAGCAAGTGTGCATACCAAGAATGTACAAGTGAAAAGTGGGATATTCCATGATATACCACTAGAAAATGCTGCATAACTATCTTATGCCATGCCATAGAAAAGCAGTGGCCAACACAATTAAATGAGACATACGCAAAGTGCATGCTGGGAAGGTTGGGTGTAATGCCATCAAGTATATGTCAAAAGCTTTTCTGTTTTCTGATTTGCTATAATTTCTATGGCATGTTTGTTGGTATACATGAAAAAAAATGGAATGCCCCTGGTGATGCAATGATTGTAATTGGTAATATGATTACCTGTACCACATGCTGCAGAATCAAGAATTATATTATATTGATTGATGCAGCTTATTTGCAGAATGATCTTCACAGACTTGTCCTCCGCCAGCAGTCTGCATTATCACAGAAAGTTCTTAGAGTGATTGCAACGGTCCTCTGCATCATTTTTACTGGGTAAGTCTAAGTTAGACATTGTGCCATTGATGTATCATTCACATGGAAGGCCATCCCAGCAAAATATTTTTTTTCCTATTACCCGCTCTCCTCTGAAAACAAAAAGGAAGTAAGAAATGATTTGAAGTGAGGGAGCAATAATTATTATTACTTGTGATTTCTGACAGAGTATGTGGCATCCATCACCTTGAGAGACCTGCTTCAAAGTGGAATTTACAAGTGTGTCTTTGGTTTGTGGTAGTGACTTTCAGCACAGTTGGATATGGTGAATATACTCCAAATGACTGGCCAGCACAGACATTTGTTATGATCATGATAGCCTTTGCTCTCATTCTACTTCCTGTTGAGGTAGGTTGAATGGGATAGTTATTAGCTCTGGTACGTTCATTCTCTTAATGACAAATTATACTTTCAGTTTGGAAAAGTATATCATTAAATTATTGTTTAGTGAATTTTAATATATATTGCTGATAAATTAATCTTAAGGGAACATTTTGTGGCAACACAGATTATTTAAAAACATTAATATTCTATTCAAGGTAACAGGTCATTGGTGTGATCTTTTAATTTATTTACTTTGTGGTATGTAATAATAGAAACCCATTCTCCATTAGTAAGAATGCATTACTAAAAAAATGCATATTATACTGAATTTATTTAGCAACCTGTGATTATATTACAGTATGAGTTTAGTTCCTTTGGGTACACCCTTGTGTAATTATTCACTTTTTTCCTATTAGTTAGAGCAGCTGGCTTTCTTATTGGTAACTCGTCAAAAGGAAGGTGGCGCATTCAATCGCATGCTGGCTGGCTCTGACAAACATGTGGTTTTATGTGCAACAACCCTGAGACCAACTATGCTGATTGACTTCTTGAATGAGTTCTATGCTGATGGTAGATTACAGGTTTGTTCTTGACACTCATTTTTTTACTTGTTTTGAGGTAACAAAACAGAAGGATGAGTCTAAGTGGCCCCATATGCTCACTTTGCCATACAAATCATACTTTTAAAACTTATACCAGTTGCTTTGTCTTCCTTACCTTTGCTCAAGTTGACATTAGTGCCCTGTTCTAGTTAGCCTTACTTTAATTCAACCATTTTCTGTTATTTTCTTAGGACGTTCATGTGGTTCTTCTTTGCCCTTCGGATCTTGACAGCACTTTGAGAATCTTGTTACAGGTACCACTGTGGTCTCAGAGAGTAACATACTTAAAAGGATCGGCCCTTATTGATGAAGACCTGATAAGAGCCAGGTATGAGTTGGCAATCAGTGCTTAAGTAGTACTTCCAGTGTTAGGAATCAATTAAAAGGGAATGATGAACTTATGACAAACAGAACTTGGACATTTGTTGTGATATAGATAGAAATACATGTAGGTTAGGCTATTGGTCATGCAATGGAACTTTGTCTGTCATGCCAATCACAGAGCGATGATCCCCCTGTTATGCCATATATTGTGTGGCTATTGCACTTGCCTATTATCAGCAGCACTGTCATTGAGTCTTGATCCACCTGTAGCCTTGATCTTCACGCCCCATAACAAACTTGCTACTTTATAGGTGAATTGTGTCAACTGCAGGAAATTTCATACGTAACATCAACGGCCCATCAACCATGCTCAGCTGTAACAGGTGCTATGGGTTACTGCTCTTATTGACAGCCCTGATAAGTGTTTGAAGCATAACTCTCTAGGAACTGCAGCATTAACTTGATGTAGTACCATGTTCTCAGAGCCAACATCAAAACTTCTAGCTGGAGTAAATTAATTTCTTTATCTTAAACACTTGTTCATTGTAACATTTTGATCTTTCAATGTCAGGGTTGAGGATGCTGAGGGATGCTTTATACTCACAGACAGATATGCAGACGACAGGGAGGCAGCTGTATGTTGAATAGACTTATGTTTTCATGTATTATAATTTTTTTTGACAACATGTGGCTGACATGTATAATCTATCATACTTGACATGTGTTCTTTCTTTCACTTTAAGTATTACTTTTAACATAAAACAAGAAGACATGCAAGATGTTGGATGTTACAGCCAGTAATACACAATGTTACAGAAGTGTTGCTGTTCACTTACATACATGTAGCTACTACAGTTGTGGTACTTTAAAACAAATGAAAGCAGAGTAAGCATGATCACCTTGAGTTCCAGCAACAACAACAGCACATGAACTGAGCAAACATACAACTGAGAAGTTTGAAAAGCATTGATCTTCACCTTGGTATAATTATATTGGTTTTAGGACAAGCACACCATTTTGAGGACCTGGGCCATCCAAGACTTTGCACCAGCCACACCTCTATATGTGCAGATCCTTAAGCCAGAGAACAAGTTCCATGTTAGCTTTGCAGGTAAGAAAAGTAGAATTTTGGTCTTGCTAGAGTTGAAGTGTCAGATTTTTTGAAAGCACTGGTAATGTATTTATAATATTATTGTTGTTATTGTTTTCAGAGCATGTAGTCTGCGAGGATGAGGTCAAACATGCACTGTTGGCTAGTAACTGTGTATGTCCAGGAATCTCAACTTTTTTCACTCTTCTTCTCCACACTCTTCATGAGCAGTAAGTTATCCTGCAAGCAACTTAGCATGGTAATTTGTAATGCCGGGCAAAGCCCTAGTAAGGATCCTCAAGAATCCTTGAGGATCTTTATTATGGTCTTGTCACGGATCTTAATCAAGATCCTCAAAGATCCTGGTTAAGATCTTTAAGGATCTTTACAATTTTTGCCAGGATCTTCAAAGATCTGGACCAAGATCCTAAGGCTCTTCAAGGATTGTCAAAGATTCAGCCCAAACATTTTGCCAAGATTTGGAAAGATCTATAAAAGATCTTTGATTTAAGGATCCTTGCAAGATATTTCAGAGACCTTTAAGGAATCCTTGAAAGATCTCTATCTTTAAGGATCTTTGGTAGGTTTTTTATAGATCTTACAAACTCCTCAAAGATCTCCACCACCAATGCCAACAGTGCTAAAAGAGACTAGATAGTACTGGCTCATTTATGGTACATTGTGAAAAGTTAGGTCCAATTCCTCACCAACTAAAGTTAATTATACTGATAATCTCCTACAGCGGACCTGTTGTTCGATACGTGCTAACTTACAGCTAACCCAGAGGAGGGATATTTAATGATATATTTCAGAGTGCTCTTTAATTATGTTCATAATTTGTTCACTCCACTGAAGTGCACAAAGCACAGGAGTTTCATTAGAAAATAATAACATGACCCAGTGTTCAAACATGCCAAGATATTGAAATGATAAAATCATTATGGGTCTGTTTCAACAAAAGCATATTATTTACTTACTTACATCTGTTGTATGATGTTGTTCTTCAGGAGTGGATCAGAGGATTGGCATGATATTTATGGCAAGTGTGCAGGAAATGAAATATATGACATTCAGTTAGGTAAAAGTGAGATCTTCAGACCACATGCTTACAAGACATTCGCATATGCTGCCTTCCATGCACACAAGAAGTAAGTTGAAAATTGATTCATTGCTTGGTTTGGTGCATGTTATAGTCGTAGTAATTTTTCTTGGACAATTCTGTCCAAGGGGGAAAGGTGCAATGAGGTTTACCCCATGTAACGCACCAACCCGTGAGACAAGGCCAGACTACAACACCAGAAATTACATGCCCTACTTGTTTCGATAAGTGTGTGGGTTCTTTAACATTCCCTGCTAACCATGTTACAGTGAAGATGCAGGAGACAAAGCCTATGGCTTATAGTCCCTATCTGAGAAGACTTGAACGTCTAACCATTTGCAGATGTAATTACAAAGGCAGCACATTCTCCTCACTTATTTTAAGAACGTGTGTGTTGGTCCAGTCTGTGGCTGGAACCCTTGACCTCCCACACAGCAGACTGATGCTCTATTAACTGAGCTAACCAGGTGGCTATGTGCAAGCTATGGCATGAGCATCGAGTCATTTTTGTCATTCTTTTAGTGACCATATGTAGTTCAGTAGTCATAGATAATAGTTCTTGCAAGCAGAATTGACTGTTCCCTAAATTTTGTGGCAGATGTCAACATATTTTTACAGAGAGTGTTGATTTTAGTATCAAACTTTGTCTTAAAGGATATTGTGTGGGCTTATGTGCAAGTGATCCATAGTTACTTTGAATTGGGTCATAAACAATAAAATTGAGTGAGCATGACCAGTCAGATCATAAAAACGGAATTCTAAATGTGACATTTCTGATTATGAGAAATATCACATCTTTCACCAGATTTTCTTGGATGACAGCAGAGTACTATTCAAAGTGAAATGTTCCACAATAATGATCAGCTTGCTTCTAATTGTTTCTTAAACAAAGAACTGGAATATGCAAATGTTATATCAGTCTGCACATGTGTCAAGCCATTAAACAATACCTTTAAGGTGCCATTAAAACTCATCGTTATTTTATGGCTTCATTAGTAACATTGTCATTGTCATCAGAGTTGTCGAGAGAACTTTGCTAACTTATCTTGCAGTTTTTGTATTGTATCTTGAAATTTTGTGGATGCAAGGTCTCATCAGACTAACTTGTAAGGCCCTGCAAACTTTCACTAGCAGTAATCACCCACCCTCAGAATGTAATGAATTGATAATTACTTAATTAAGTTTTTAATAATAAGTTAATATAAGCCCAGCACATATTGTTTGGAGAAAAAGTTGTCATGAGGCTGGTGGCACACAACTACCAGCACTTAACTTGGATTAGTAGCAGGGACAGGAAACTACTGCTACCATCGAAAGACTCGTTGCATGTTGGCTTGTGGCATTTTTGTCGAGGTTCCCCACAATATGAAGATAGTGACCATAAAGTTGACCATTGATAACACATATCATGTCTGATGTACTTTAGTTACCACTTGAAAACTACACTTGGAAAGTTTTATGTAGTGCTCATATTACTCTATGTATTGTTGTTCATTAGGTATGGAGTGACACTCTTTGCAGTTCGTCCAGTGGGGAAAAATAAACGCATTATGTTAAACCCTGGGCCCTCACATGTGATGAACTATGAGGATCGTTGCTTCTACATTGCAATCTCAAGTGAAGAAGACACTGCATTCAAAGCCTACAAGGAGCCAAAAGAGCCAGTTGGCTTGTTTAAGGGTAGCTTTCGTCAAAAAAATGACTCCTTTATCACTGCAAGCTCTGTAGCTCTTGAACTAAGACCTGAACCAGGTATAACACTTACTCTGTAATTCAGAAATTTTTTTTTTTTTATAATTGAGTGTAGTAGTAACTGTAAAAGAAGTAAGCACAGTTGGAAGTCGGGGTTTTCTAAGTTATTAGGCAGTGAATTTTCTAAGTCATGTAGGGAGGGGTTTGGTAAGTTACCTGCAGTAGTGGACAAACGTCCTTGGGACACTGATGTAATGCCATGGATTAACTGGTTTTACAATGGAAGTTTGAAAAAGTACTGCTATCCTTTTAATATTGCATTGCTGTTCTCCACTCCACCACGCAATACAATGTTGAAACTCAGGAGAAACTGCAGGCGCACGTTGTGGGTGGGTGGGTGGAGGGGCTGGGCCAGGGTAGTTGCATTTGTGTGCAACTGTTTGTTTAGTGTGTGTGAAAAAGTGGCACAAGTGCAAATTTGTCCCAAGCCTTTTCTTGCCAAATGCTGCTTACCATTTACCAAGAAAACAAATTTTTAAATGGCTGACAAATTTAAAGAATTTACCTGTCGTCAGCCCTTCAGCTGATGTTTCTGTAGATGTTAGATTTGGTGCCACCTGAAAAGGGGTTTCAATCTTAAATGTTCACCTGTAAATATTCTCTCCATAGTATGACTGGCCCTAGTCAGTCTCCTTTTTCTCTTCAAGTCGCCTACCACTTTTTGTATTGAATTTGGTAGTCCAAATGAGAACCACTCACTTTTAGTCTATGTACTTTTAATTCATGTTGTATGTTTACCTACCAATTTAGTTGGCCTCAGGTACTTAGATGAAGCTCCTGCAAATGGTGTTGGACACACAACCTCTCATGAAAAAGTCATGCCTTCCTCAACTCTCAAACCAGGGCGTGATCAGGGATCTCCTGAGAGGAAAGTTTCGAGAGGGACTAAGGAAGTTAATTTTGATATAGCGGATTCTAGACGATCGTCAAACTCCGTGTATGTACCCAATGAATCAGATTCTGAGGAAGGAGAAGCTTCTGAACAAGAGCTCGATTTTCTTGATGACACAAGTAGAATTCCTAAGTATGCATTATTTTATAGCTACAAAGATTATCATAGTATTTAACAAAGGTTAGCAGATAACTCGTCCTTGTTTTCTTAAAGAGGTAAACTTGCATTGGTGCAATGGGCACAATAAAGGACAAAGGTCAAAGGTTTCATGTCTCAGTTTCATGTGTTTTTATGTCAAGAATAACAAACAATTTTCTGTTCCAAAGGGGACTTAAGTGCTGCACAATGCCCGTGAAAGGCAGACACTTGTCCCTTTCAATCCAGTAATGTGTGCTTCTAGAAAACATCCATACCAGCCCAAGGAGGGTAACTGGAAATTCCAAGGGGACGCAGGATCTCAAATAACAAACTTTTAAAAGGAAAGTATGAACTAAAAGTACACTTTCCAGAGGAATTGGGCAAGTGGGATGGGGGAGGGGGGTCAAACTAGAAAAACCTCTGTGGGAGGGGTATGGATATTTTCTGAAATGACACAGTGTAAATGGTTACCAGCAAACTGTTAGGGCAGCCTTCAAAAATGCAACAGATTGGTAACTCATCCTCGGAGATGAGCAATACTTTAACAATCTGCAGAAACCAGAAGAGTTGAACAGTGCCGGTATAGCTGAGTCATCTGGCTCTTCCTATCCTAAGAATTGCACCACACCTTACCTTTCAGGGCTTACATCTTTTTCGTAGTCATTTGCAGCAGTCTGATAAATAAATTAACAAGAATTGTGTATTTTGTGATTGCGACAGTTACGTGGTAGGAGTCCCACCATGCTCATTGTATATTGGGCGCACACCTATAAGATGCCACCTCCTGAAGACTCCTAAAAAGTGTTGTTGTTTGGGACTTAGGAATGAGGTGAGTTATGTGGTTAACACTTAAGGTCATTCCACTGAAATAGAACCTGCACTTAGATTTTTGTGGAAGTTTGCTTATTGATTGTTTATATTATAGGAACTTAAATTTTGAAATAAAAATGAGGGGTCCCCATGTTCGTTTAGGAGCAACGGTACCTTGTTTCTACCCAATAAATCCTTATAATAGCACCATGATTGTAGTCATGATTGCTTGCTAAATTCACGTTTCCAACGACTGAGTTTTGTTCTACACTGAGAATTGGTCCATATTTATTTTATGCAGAGAAATTCATTACTCAATTCAAAACAACAGAAAAAAATGATACGTCACCATACTCGTTTGCGAGAAAATGATGATTTACCTCTATGGCGAAGTCCAGCCGTAAAGAAAAAGCCGCCATTTTTTAATGCGTGCGCGCTAATCACGCGTGAAATTATGCACAGTAGGGATGCGCAATGCAATACTGGGGAATGACCTTAAAAAGAACGATTTTGCATATGTATGAACTTTTTGTAAATAACTTGAAGTGTATGCTTCCCTGGTTGACATAATCTTGCTCAGCCCTTGATGATGTACATGCAATCCATCGTACAGTTTTGAGAGTTTGAGTAACTTGTGCCTACCCCCTGTTCTCTTTACTGTACTAGAGGGTGGTAAATTGCAATTCACATGAACTATTTTGCCTTCACTACACAACCGAACACACTCAAAGGTTGAGACATGGGCGCGTTGGTCAGCCAGGCCCAAGATATGTTGTAATTGTGACAATAAGCCTACAACAAAGTTTTGATACATCAAGTAACATCTTACATGCGTCAAAGCTGGACACATAAACCCCAAAAAACTCTTGTTGGGAAAAATAGGGACAGTTTACCCCCAACCAAATGCAGTGGTGCCACCTTTGGGGTTTTAAGGTTGATATATAAACAACAGAATGAAAAACAAATCAGATAGTGCTAATTACACAATAAAAGTAAACCTTTTGTGAAAGTGCTAGTGGCAAGGCTGACTGCACAATGTCTTAAGTTTCTCAACCATCTCTTTTTACAAATGCATACTTTGCATACCTCGCATACTACCCTTGCACCCACTTCTCTAATCCGTGTTGACAAAATATTAATTTATGTCAATACTGATTATCACAAATTACACGTTCAACTTTCTTTGTCAGGCCTGTTTAGACAGAGATCTAAATGACAGTGCAAGATTACACCAGAGGCAGCATGGAGCTATCATTGTGGCATCTCCTGTAGCAGAAGCTGGATTGTACAACTTTATTCTTCCTTTGAGAGCTTACCAGCGCCCTAAGTGCACCCTTAAACCTATTGTGCTGCTTCTAAAAGAAGAGTAAGTAACAACTAATGACAGACAGAAAATGTGGTAATTTTTTTTATGCCTAGCACTATAAGCAGATATTACAGACCTTTAGAATGGCCTACGAGTGTGAGATAAACACAGTATGAGTACGATTTTCAAATTTTGAACCAGTGACGTTTCCAGATCTGCCGCTCTTCATGCTGGTTTTAGGTAGAGAGGGTAGCTCATGGGATGAGATGGGTATGTGATATGATAAACAAGAATTGAAAAGTCATTCTTGTACTTGATCTCGTACTCGTATTCAAATCTTAAGTCCCCTAATGTATGCAGAGGGCCACATATATCTAGTTGTAACCCTTGGTGTACATTACAGGCCCATGGTACTTAAGGTACCAGGTAAACTGTACAAAACGCCAAATATACAGCATACTCACACAAACTGCATACAGGGTAATATTAGACTGAGGTATACAGTGGTGCCTGGCTCAGAATACACCTGGAAATTACCCTTTCAAAATGTGGCCTGATTTCCTCAATTAGACTTACATATTCCGGGTGTACCTGAATCTAAACCAATTGATACCCCTGGAGGAAAAACCTTTTTTCAGCCTTGGACTGTTGGATAGAACATTTCTAGTGTGCCCTTTTTCATGTTTTTCTGTTTCATGTTTTTTTGTGATGAATCAATGTACACATATCTTCAAAGAACTTCTCAATCTTGTATTTGGTTATTGCAGACCCAATGAAGATTTCTTGATGGCAGTTTGCCACTTTCCCATGGTGTATTATATGATAGGAACTATAAACAGGTAGGGAATGACTATTTGCTTCAAGGTTGTTTGTTTAGTTTCAGTAGAAGGTAACTGCTTCATCAAAAATCATTTCCTTCCCACATTCTTTCATAAATGATCTTTGACTACCTATTCAACTGTTTACCATTTTAACCACTTACTTTGATGTTTCATGAAAGTTAGTCTCTGATCAAAAGTGATAAATTTCTAAATGATCATTTCTTGCAGTCTAGATGATCTTCTCAAAGCTGGTTGTCTACATGCTGACAGCATAGTGGTGGTAGGCCATCGGTGTCATGGTCAGATGTATGATGAAGAACACATGGCAGATGCTAGCACCATAGTAGATGTACAGAGTATCTACAGGTAAAATGCTCAATTCAGCTAAGCCTAGCTTGTAAGGCACACAAAGCTGAAATTGTCCCTGTTTCTGTTTCTGTTGAAATGAGTTCCAACTCTTTCCAGTACAAAGCAGCTGCTGCTTTTCAGTAGTGGCTGATTCCCTCTGTGAGATGCGCCTGCAGGGACTCATGGTAGTTGTATTCATCATCTTGGACTGGATATTTGTTTTGATGAATACAACTGCCATAATTCCCTGCAGGAACATCTCATAGAGGGAACTGGCCATTGTACACATGTTTTTTATTAGCTCAGCTTCACTTCCTTCAATGCTCTCTAAAGCTTGTCTTGTAACCAAAGCTTAACTTCCCTCATCACTCTGAATATTAAGAATATTTCCTGAAGTCTTTCACAATTTGTTCAATCTGTGTTTGTCAGATGCTTTCCAAGAGCGACTCTGATTGTGGAGCTGACACATGCCTCCAACATGCGCTTTATGAAGTTTAATGCTGACATGGCTCTTCCTCCTGGACTACAAAGTGAATCATTGGCCAGTTTTAAAACACGAAGCTTCAGAGAGAGTGTTAAGGTGTGGACAGTAAATCAGTTGTTAAGTGCACTCAGGGTAATTTTTATAAGTTTTCCCTAATCTGTTATAACAACTGGTAATTCAATTCTCTTTTCAATTTAGAGGAGAATCAAACAGCAGAACAAGGACCACCTCAACTACATGTTCCGTGAGCCTTTTGCTGCTGGTCACGTGTTCAGTATGAGCATGCTTGATACTCTGCTCTATCAGGTAATTGTTCAATTTGACCTAAATCACTACATACATAAACCTATTTTGATGTAGTATATCAAACATGGAAGACCTTGTTTGACCAGCCCACCAAACACCTAGAAGGGAGGTGAAAATACCTTGTGTAGGAGAGAATTTTTGACGAACTTTGAGTTGTCTGGAAATTTGGTCAAACTTGGTACATTCTCAATTGAAACTAAAATGAGTTTGAGAAAGTACTATTTAAATACTAGTAGTCAAAATGACCTTTCAAATCATTAATTTCAAAGGTGTCATTTGTATGGGAATATAATTTGAAGGAGCGTAACCAGCAGCTAATTGGGCAGTCAGGCTGATAGGAGTTGAGAACCTGGCAGAATCTCCATGCAGGTGCCCCCACTGTGGGTCCTGACTGTTTGAGCCATTGTTAAGTTGTGATGCTCAATGTTGTTGTTCTTGTAGGCATTTGTAAAGGAGTACATGATTTACCTGGTCAGACTGCTGTTAGGCTGTGAACAGTCTCCAGGATCAGGATATCTCTCTTCAGTAAGGAAACGACATATCTCCATGTTTTTACATAAAAAGAAGTTCAATAAGATTATAACAAGTGTTTTACTTTAAGATTACTCGTAAATATTATATATTTTTATAATAATATTGCATTAAACATTTTGCATATATTAGCGGAAGGTAACTGAGGATTACATTTGGATTGAAACTTATGGAAGGCTTTTCCAACGACTTTGCTCAACCACTGGTGCAATTCCTATTGGCATCTATCGATCACATGTTCCAGAGGTGAGGAGACATAATTTATGCTTCATTTTTGATTGACTTGTTGCAACTCTGTTGTTCTCTTCTTGCACACTGGAATTCCAGGTGAACAAACTTGCTTGGTTCCGAAAGTCAGTGTGTTGTGTACTGATACCGGTACTTGTTATTTCCATGAACTGGTTAAAATGAACATCCAGTGTGGTTTTCAATTTAAGTGCCTCCCATATCCGAATTGTCTGGCAGTTTCAAATCATGCGGTCATGTCAATACGAATTTGGGGCCAGATTTACAAAGCTCCCCTAAGTAAAGATACATCCTTGTAAGGACTGTTTCTTTACAATGAACTTTTTCAGAATAATGCTTGCTCTGTGAGAGGGTAAGATAAATCAAATCCTGTACTGATTGGCTGCCCAAGGAGGCAATATGTGGCTATCTTGCCACATGGGATTACCCTCTTTGTTCTACCAGAAAATGTTCTTTATGCCTATAATAAATCCTTTTATTGAACAAGCTTGATGTGGTCAAGGTGACTGGATATTAACTGTGTTTTTTTGTGTTTATGGACCTCAACTATGTCTTGGTCCATGAACATGCAAAAACCAGATCAAGCTTAGTCAATAATCCATTTGACTTAGCATAAAACTTAAACCTGGGAGGGCTTTGTGGATCCAGGCCCTTGAACCACGCTGCAGACTGTACATCACAAACTGGTTTTAATCAAATACCAAATCTTCATGCACCAAATGTAATGTTAGTCGTAATTTTGCGCCATATTTCTGTCATGTTGTGCATCTGCAGCAAAGCATGCAAATGCTCTTCTGTATTCAGTTTTATCTGCAAAAGTTCTCTATACCTGAATGAATCAACAATAAATTTTATTAGCTGTTTTCAAAACTCTTCTCACTCCTTTTTGTGTTCTCATAGGAGGACTTCACAGATGCTTTTCCTAAGAGAAGAAAGAAAGAGATTCGTGACATCTCGGACATCATAGAACACAGAATGAAAACTCTAGATATCATTGGCACTCGTGAGTTAGACTGAACTTTATGCAGGAATCCGATGTGTTGTATATTTAACAAATAGATTCCATGTTGCTGTATAATAGATCACAGATTATGTCAAAATGTGGTAAGAACAAAGAAGTGGCACAGGAGCTGTTAGTGATCTCTTAATATGTTCTTACCACAGTTTAAAGTTTTCTGTGATCTGTTGCTGAACAGATGCATGGCAACATGGAAGCTATTTGTTTTATATAAATTATAAAAAAAAAAATGATTGTTAATAACTTCATTTGTGCATCTGTCCTCCAATAAATGATAAGTAAGAACTAATCAAAATGTGAGAATAATTCAACTTATTATATAAAGCTAGCTGTATATACTTGACTGTATACTTTTCCATGATTTGAGTAATCCTATACAATTTTTTACATTTAATGCACAATGTCCCATTTTTTATAAAGTACTTGTTATTTCTAATTTACTTTCTTGAAAAGGGAGGCACGGTGGCCTCATCAGGTTAGTGCACTCGTCTCTGGATCAAGCAGTCTGGGTTTGAGCCCTGGCCAGGGACATTGTGTTGTGTTCTTGGGCAAGGCACTTAACTCTCACAGTGCTTCTCTCCACCCAGGTGTATAAATGGGTACCGGCAAACTTAATGCTGGGGGTAGCCCTGCGATGGACTAGTATCTCATCCAGGGGGGAGTTGAAATACTCCTAGTTGCTTCATGCTACAGAAACCTGAGATAGGTGCCAGTCTGATGGGCCACTGACCATAGGCTTGTATGCAGACTTAACCTTACCCACTTTCTTTTGAAAAAATTAACTTGACATCTTTATAGTCAACAAATGATGGGAACAACAAGCGAGTCAATCATGACAATTGTGTTGTTGATCAAAAAGAGTAAATTAAAGAAAGCTTGTGGATATATATTGTCCAGACGCTTTTTGGACTACTGGTAGTTTGTCATGTGTCACAAGGAAAGATTGTGTAATGAGCCTAAAGAGCATCTGCATCGCAGGCTACTGAAAACTTGCAATCGGACAAATTTTGTATTTGTATGTGAATGTCAATCTTAAGTTGACTAGCCTTGATTAATTGAATGTATTTTCATTGTAAAGGTTGTTATATTCTATTTTTGCAGCTGACATGACCCACAGATCAGGCAATTCCTATGTGATAGTTAACCCTAATCCAGAATTTGAGTTACAAGAAGGCGATATCATGTAAGCTACAGTTGTCTTCTCTTTGTTCCTCTTGGATATTGAAGTTGCACTATTGAGAACATGTAAAATATAGGATCACTGTGGTAGTGTCTCTTTAATTTTCCCTATTGTCATCGTCATTATCATCATCATTATCTTCATGGGACCATGTGGCCTGTTGGTTGTTGGTTTCTGTAGTTGGAGATTGAGTGTGAGAGGCCGATGAATGGCCCTCTGCAGGCTCACCATAGGTATACTGTATTCTTCCTAGCTTGTCCAGGGTTCTGACTGCCAGGCAGAGCAACACACCTCCCATGAAGGATTATGTTAGGGGTTAGACTTTGTTATACAAACCTTATTTTTGCCGATTATGTTTTTATAGCATATATAATAAGATCATCCTCCTATATAAAGGTTAAGGTGATTCCTCAGTATTGCTTTGCAGATCCCTACTGCACATGATTTTTGCGTCTTTACTGCATGCACATGAGCACATGCATGTACACAGCATAAGCGATTTCTCTCAAGCTAAGCTCGATGGTGAAATAAATGCTTGTTTTCTCTCAAACTAGCATGGTGACCTATATTTTTATTACATAAGTAATTTTGGTGTAAAAATTATCCTTTTTAAGTTAAAAATTAAGAAAAAATTGCTCGGAAGGGTAAAAAAGATATAGCTAAAAGAGTGCACAAAACCGTTACTTTAGAATGCAAGTTATGACCTCTAAAACAACGATTAGAGGATCGTTTTCAGTCAGTGTCATTTAGAATTGTGTGATTTTTCCATAAATTATATATTACATTTTTCCAAGTACCTGAGACTTTCTGCCTATCAAGGTTTTTTCAAGTATTGCTTTAATAACCTTTGCTTGCAGCTACTGCAAAATGTATTGTGAACTGATGAAATAACGTGTGTGATTAGGTGTAAATGGGATAAGATTGGCCCATAATCTCTTAAGCAAGTATGGTGACCTATCCTTTTTATTTTTTATTTTGAAATGTCAGTGCTTGGTAGGGAACATTCAGGGAAAGTTTCAAGAAAATTGTTCAGTAACTTTTATATCTGAGGAATCACCTTAAGCTGACATTTCATTTCAGAGGCCTTGTAGACAGTGTTTTGTTGCTGTAATAGGTAGTGATGACATATTTTCAAATTTACTGCGTAATCTGATCTCGAGGCTGGGAGATTCAAGTTTAGCAACTTTGTTTTGACAACATTGATGATGTCTTTAATGTTTTGTTTAGTTACCTGATTTGTCCATGTAACACACACACATCAGATACAGAGGAAGAGCCAACTGATCCAGACATGAGTGAAAACTTGCCCAGTACAAATCTGTGACAAGATTGGTAGTATTGAAGAGAAGAGCTGCTCTGCTGTGGGTTCCTTGATTAAGGATCGAATCATGACAAGTGCTGATATTCCCACCTGAAACAATCGCTGAGAGATGTGTGGTTGATAAACAGCTAGAGCAACCGCATCAAAAAACATTTCTGTGGTCTTGCCCTCTGTTTTTGTGTATTAATCAGGCTGGGGAGACCGTGTTTTTGAACGAAGATGCTTACAATCTCCAATGTTTGTAATACGCTTAGATGCATGCGATTGCCAAGCAAGTGTATTCCAGAAATGGATTCTGAACTATGGCAGTTTTAATTATAGTGTCAAGTTGACAGAGCAGAAAACAAAATTTTATAAAACAGATACTGAGATTATGAGAGATATTTAAATAGAGATTCAGACTACTAATTTTGTAGTTGTAATCACAAACCTGCAGTGAAATGAAACTACAAAAAAGTGAAGTTTTAGTGCTATAATAGTTGTAGTTTAAGACCAGATTTTGTGTGCTTCACAAACAAAAAGAATATTGTCCAAGAAATTATGTGAATTTTTTCACTTGGTAAATAAATGACATTATAGGTCATTCTCAGTCTTGCCACAACTGTTGTCTAATAATTTAAGATGTTGTTAAGAATGTCATCTTAAAAGCTTATTTTATTTAATTCTGCTTTATTATTTTAATTGTTATGCTGTAATGTGCTAAATTTAGCACATCTTGTGGGAAATGAGCAAAGTCATGCCACAATGTGACAACTTATTTGTAATTTGCAGAGAAATATGACTTAGATTTGTGGGATTTGTCAATTTTACTGCAATTATTTTTAAACTAATTTGCTTGCTGGCAAACATAGGTAATGCTGTCAAAGTTTTGTCCTACCATCAATAGTTAATATTTGTTGCATTGTGTATATATTAACTGTCTGCACATGTTATGTGGCTATTAATTTTATATCCAGGTTACTCTGGAGCAGCTATATCTGTACGAATTTATCTTTAGATGTGTTGAAAGAATTATTGTGTTGTAAATATGCAATGTTTGCAAAATGGGAGCTGTTTCCTCAGGTTGTGTCTGAAACTCAGTAAGAAAATGATTGTGTAGTCCTTTATAAGAGAGTAGCAAGGGTTTTGTAGGAAAAAGGTTAGGACTAATGTCAGAGATAGAGGTTTTTGTGATAGCATGCCAATTAATTTCATGTTATTATACCCACCTAGTGAATGACTAAAACCTTTAAAAAATTCTTGTTCTGCATTTGGAATGTTGGACTGTCCTATATAGGTTCAAGGCAGTATTCAGAACAATTTCAGGAGTCACGTTTGTCAGCACATGGTGGTCTGCAAGTAGCTTCTATTTGAGTTATAAGCCTATAATGGTAATTTAACACAAAATCCAATAGGAAATCGAGCGATTTCAACTTTTGTGGACAAAAACCTTGTACCAGAATAATTTTAAGTATAATAGCGTCCTTTTTGCATTTTCTAAAAGCTAAATATATCAATAATTATTTGCCTGAAATAACACCTAAAACAATTTCCCATGGGAAGTCGATGAAATAAGTTTCAAAGTTCAGTGAAATTGTGCAAACACAGGTTTAGGTCCAGTACTGGTGTTATTTCACCAGTACTTTCGAGTGTTTTATATGAACTTCACAATTTATTTTCAACATTTGGTGTGGCTAGAAATGATTTCTTTGGAGAAGACATTTAAAACAATCGCGTGGAAGGTTGCAATACAATGTAAATAATGTTGGTACTAAGTTTTTGTCCAGCTGTTACTCGAGCTTCTGGTGGATTCCCTCTTAAATTGTGTCCAAAATATCCTTTTTGTTAATGTTGTTATATATCAAGAGTACACTTGACTCTCGGTTCTTGATTAGTCACTGGTCCGCAGAAAATGTTGTTAAGTTGTTGCTTTTGATAAATGTTTACAAATTTTTAGAATCTAAATTAA